CTAAACAAACGCTATATCAACGAACGTCAACAATACTTCTGACTGCAGTTCAATTACTCACTACCTACACACACGATTATTCCCTGTCACGTTGTCACCCTCTTTTATATACCAGACTACCCTATAACTAGTAAACGCTAGCGCATTCGCCAAGGTACAGGATAGTTCTAAAAACGTGGCGTCACACTAGTCATGTGACTCGCTGACGCAACACAACGAAACTTTAGCTACACAAGTCCTTTCTTAAATAAAACTGGTTTATTCTTTCCGAATACAACTTTACCGATACACTTAATTTCAACAGTCGCTCTATAACAAACGCTATAATTCTCAAAGAACGTCTCCCGTGCTCGTGCTCGACAATACTCAGTTTAATTACACATACTCTGACTGCAGTTCAATTACTCATTGTTCGGTCACGTTGTGACCGTCTTATATATACCAGACTACCCCCAATCTAGTAGTCTCCCGATAATTCACGAAGGTTCGAGAAGGACGTGGCGTGATACTAGTCACGTGACCTCGCTGACGCAATACTACCTTGACAGTTCTGTCTCCTGAATATGTGCCTATTGAGGCCATGATTCAAGAAAGATGATCCCTCAGACATGCTGTCAGAAGAAGTAGTTTGACAGACACATGCAACTATTCACAAGAGAATTGAAATTTCTGAAACGTATAGTTTCATATAGATAGTTTTCTACTCTCAAAACCAAACTAAATATTAAATTTCGAAGTTTACGTAAAAGGGTAAATAGAATGAGCTTCGCCATGAAGCTGTTGCAAATTATGTATGTTGTTTTTCCATAAAACATGGTGTTAAATATTTAACACCGACTTATATAGAGGTTGAGTATGTTATATTTTGGAGCCTCAACACATCGTTAGAAACCAGCTATGCTCTATCTGGCGACTTTGTCTCCTAACAATAGCCCTGCAGTGTAGTTCTATTGCTTTCCATAATTCATTTAATGTATGAGGTTTGTTTTTGTTTTTTTTTTTAATTTCGCGCAAAGCTAAGAAGGGTTATCTGCGCTAGCCGTCCCTAATTTAGCAGTGTAATACT